ATTTGATTTCTCTGGGCTTCGGTTTCCTCATCTAAAAAACGAGGCTACTGGGATGGACAACCTCCAAGAGTCTACCAGCTCTAGGTCTATGATTCTATGACACATTCTCTCCAAGATGACTGGCTGGACATTTTCCAAGAGGCTTTAAAGAAGCACATCCCTGTTGACATATGGGAGAATCAGGTCTTTTATTAGTCATATCCTGGTGAAAATTACCAAAGAGAAGGTCATATAAGATAGGAGAAAATGAAACTTGCTTGAATCAGGTAAAGGGATTTTTGTAATGCTGCAATCAACCTGACATGCTGGAAAACATTCATTGGGTAGTTGCCATCTCAATCAAGCATGGCCCAATTCAGATTTTGACTGAAAGGTTAAACAAACACTCCTAGGTCTTTTGCCTCAACCAGGATCATATATTTATAGCTGGTGGGGACCCTGGAAGCCATCTAAGCCAGCTCTTCCATTTTGCAAAGGAAACTGAGGTCGAAGGAGTTTAAATGACTCGTCCAAGATCACAAAGGCAATAAGCGTCAGAGATGGAATTTGAACCCAGGTCTTCTTCCTCCAGAGTTAGGTGTGCTTACCACTGTACTACACTGGTCCCCATCCCAAGGGCAGGGATTATAGAATTCTGAGGAATATCTAATGGAAAATGGGGCATGTTTGAAGCCCAAGAGTAAAATGTTCCCTACTGTCTGTTCCTTGGCTAGAGGTGATTAGACTTCATAAAGCAGGCAAATCCAGACGATGTGAGGATGCTAGGCAGAATTTCCAGCGATGTCATGCTATTGCTATTACCTCTTCACTAGAAAGATAAACAGGCTAATACCAGATGGTCCTCTGAGGTAGCCTAACTTTATCATCCTTATTAGTCAACTAGCATTTATTAAGTGCCCACTATACTTGCTAAGCACTGGAGAAACAAAGAAAGGCAAAAGATAGTCTTGCTCTTAAGGAGCTCACAGTCTAAAGGAAAAGATGATATACAAATAACCATGTTCAAACAAGATACAGTCAGTCCAAACTGGAAATAATATAGAAGGAAGGCACTAAGATTAAGGAAGACTCATCACATAATGCTTTAAGGTTTGCAAAGCATATTCCCCATGATAACCTTGTAATAAATGATGTGTGAGAATTATTATCCTCATTCTATTATAGAACATAAAACTAAATGGGGCCTTAGAGGTCATCTAGTTTAAACCCTCTCATCTCACAGATTTTGAGAGGCAGCTGCATGGTATAGAGGATGAGCTCTGGAGTCAGGAAAGCCCAAGTTCAAATCCAGCTTTAGATGTTTACTAGCTGAGTGACCCTGGATAAGGTTTTCCACTGCTGTCTGCCTCAGTTTCCCCAAGTGTAAAATGAGGATAATAATAGTACCTACTTCTCAGGGTTTGTATGAGGATCAAATAAGATAATATTTGTAAAGCATTTAGCACAGTGCCTGGCATAAGTTTTTTTTTCTTTTGTTTACAGGTAAAGAAGATGGACCAGAGAGGTGAAGTCATTTGTCAAAATAACATATAAGTAATAAATAAGAGAGCAAGGATTGGAACCTAAATTTCCTGAGTTCTAGTCTGGTGCTCATTCCATTACACCAATATATTTCCAAAAGGTTAAACTATCTTGTAGTGATGTCAGAGTCTCAGAAGGGCTTTATTATGATGCCCATTTTACAGATAAGAAAAATGACGCCTAGAGGTTAAATGATTTGCCCAATGTCACACGTGCCACACGATGCCACACGATGCCACACAGGCCAGGATTTGAATGCAGGTCCTACATCTCTAAAACCTGAGCTCTTTCTATTACGTCGTGATATCAAGAATTCAATTCAATTCAATTCAACAAATACTTATTAATATAAGCTTCATGACTGCAGGGGATACTTCATTTTTGTCTTTATATTCCAACTCCCAGCATAGTACCTAGACTATAATAAATGCTTACTCACCACTTGAATAACTTCCTACTATGTGCTGGGCTCTGCACTAAGTGCTAGGGATACAAAGAAAAAATCAAAAACAATCCCTGCCCTTAAGGAGCTTATATTCTTACTGGGGGAGGAGGGCTAAGGGACCAACACATACCCAGGTTAGTAAATATAAAATGTTTTAAAAATAAGCACACATTAATTTTGAGTGGAGAGACCAGTAACAACTAAAGGAAATCAGGAGAGGCTTTTTGTAGGAGATGGGACTTGAGCTGGATCACAGAATTTTGGGGCTGGGCAGACTCAGACCTCATGTATTTAACCATCCCATTTCACGGTTGAGGAGACGAAGACCCAGGGAAATGAAGTAAGTTACACAAGATTACACACACACACACACACACATAGATAGTGGCAAAGTTAGGTTCAGAATCTATGTCTCCTAACTACTAGCCCATTCTTTAGAGTATTTCTTATGATCACAACGAGTGGGGAATACCTAACTCATTCTGGGGCATCAATTCCAATCAGAAACACATTTCATCTTTAATTGAGTGACATAACAATCCTTTGCGTTTATATGGCATTGTCTCCTTTCAAATGACTTACACACAAAGACAGGGCTGGGTAGGGGTTGGACTAGATGGCTTCTGGGGTCCTTTTCCCAATCTATGATCCTATACATAATTCCCTCAAAACAATGTTTTGATTTGGTAGACTATGCATAGTCACCCCCATTTTATAGATGAGGAGCTAAGGCTAGAATTGTTACATGACTTGCCTGAGGTTGCAAAGCTATTCTAGAGCAGGATTCTTGAAAGAACCCAGATCTTGGCTCCCAGTCCTCTTTTAATGATATAAGGACAGACACACCTGTCATTCCCTGTGCTTTCTGTATGGTAAATGAGAAGTCTGCCTCCCAGATCTACCTACCCCTGCCTATGCCGGCACGACTGGAGGGCAACCTGGGTAAGGCTGGCTAAAGTAAAAGAACCACAAGATTTAAGAGCTGGAAGGGACCTTTTTCATTCTCCAGAGGAAGAAATTTAGGCTCTCTTTGAGATTAAGTGAATTGGTTAAAGTCATGCAGCTAGTAATAAGAACATTCACAAAGGACAGGTCTTATTCTTTATGCTCTCATGATATATTTACAAGGGCTCAATGTATGACATCCATCAAAGGCTACCATCTGTGGTACCAGTCCAGGGCAGGGAGGTTGCCCGTATAATTTAATTCAATTCAGCAAACATTTATTAAGTATCAACTAGTTTCCAAGGAAAACAAAACACTATTCCTCATGGATAGTGTCTCCTCCCTTGACTTGCATGACCCTGTTCTCCTGCTCCTTTTTGGTTCTCTTCACATACGCTTGGTCCTCCTGCCCCCTTATTATGAGTGTGGCCCAAGAACCTGTCCTTGGTCCTGACGGGTAATTCAGTAAACACTTGGGAAACAAACAGAACAATTCCTTCTTTTAAGGAACATATTCTACTGGGGAAGGTTGGGGAGAGGAGGGAGGATACATCCTGCCTAAAATGAATGAACTCAAGATAATTTACAGAGGGAGAGAACACAAACAAGGATATCAGGAAAGGCTTCCCATAGGGGATGAAAGGAAGGCATTCCAGGCTTACACAAAAGGACCAAGAAGGGGATAGGATGTTGATTCACTAATAGGCCAATTTGACTGGAATGCAAAGGACATGACAGGAAACTATATGAAAATAAGCCTGAAAGATAGATGGGAGCCAAATTGTGAGGCACTTTAAACACCAGACTGAAGAGCTTACATTTTACCCTTAAGGGTGTTAAAGATTTTTAATGAAAAGAATTGCAGATCCTACTTTGTGTCTTAGGAATATTAAATTGGAGAGAAGAAAGACTGGAAACAGGACTCTTGCCTACTTCTCCTTGGTTACTGCATGTGGTTCTCCTTATATATATTCTCTTCTCCAGCCAAAGTGGCCTGCTTGCTATTATTCTCCTGTTTCTATGCCTTTGCCTTCACGTCTATAATGCATTCCTTCCTCATCTACATCTCAGAATCCATAACACAAAGTGCCACCTTTTAGAGAAAGCCTGTCCTGCTTCCCCATAGTTGCTGGAGCTTTCCCTGAAAATTTGAATTTCTTTAAATTTAAAAACTTTTATATTACATTTTATATATTTTATCCTCAAGCCTCCCATAGCACCCCCTCCTCTCTCTCTCAATTGAGGATATCACCTAATACTTCCCCCTCAAAATTGACAAGAACTCTCTCTTCTTCCCTCCTCTTCATCTCATATCACTCCTTCTTCACCCCTATATCCCATGAATAGAGAGTCCTTCTCCTTGCCAAGGCCAACTCCCCTACAGACATCATCGATTCCATACCCTCCCTTCTTTTCCAGCAGATTGTCTCCACTATCATTCTCATTCTCTCCTCAACCACTGATTCTTTTTCCAAACCACTTACAAACTTGCGCATGTCTTCTCCATCCTTAAAAAAACTCACCTGATAGACCAATGCTGTTAGCTGTCACCCTACATCTCTCTTCCCCTGCTTGGCTTAACTCCTCAAAAGAGCAACCTGTACCTGCTGCCTTCATTTCCTCTCCTCTCATTCTTTTCCAAACTCTCTACAGTCCGGTTTTCACCCTCATCTCTGAAACGCGACCATTCTCTCCAGTCACTTAGTTTTCAAATCTGATGGCTTTTTCTCAATACTAATGCTTCCTCCCATGTCTGCAGGTCTGTCAATGTGCATGATCTTCTCCTCTTGGATACTCTCATCTCTTTGGGTTTTCAAGACACTGCCCTCTCTTGGTTTTATATGAATTTATCCAATAGTCTCATTTTTTTAACAGATGAGGAAACTGAAGGTCAAAGAAGTTAAACATCTTGACAAAAGTCAACCAGATAATAAGTAGCAAAGGTTTTCTAACTCACTCTTTCCACTCCATCAAGCAGCTTCACTAATAAATATCTGAACTGCGCTTAATTTAAGATACGTTAAAAATCTTCTGGTAAATTTCCTTTTAAAACATAAAAAACAACTTAGAGACAGAAAGGGGAAGGTACCTGTTGAGAGCTGATACTTATAGGTTGCTTTAAAACTATCCAAGTGACACTCTCCAAAAGAGGTGGAACGGTAAGGGAGCCTGGGTACGTCCAGTAGTCCCACGATGGAGGAAGTAGAGTTGTCGGGTCAAAATTGGTGAAGCGGATTTGTTTACCCTGGAGACAGAAAGAGAAAAAAGGAGAGGCAGAGAAAGAGAGAGAGACACAGGAGAATGAAAAAAGGGAAAAAGACAGAGGGACATCAAAGAGAGAGAGAGAGAGAGAGAGAGAGAGAGAGAGAGAGAGAGAGAGAGAGAGAGAGACTGAGACTTTTCTGGTTACCAGGTGATACCTTTATTAGGAATGCCAAAGACATAAAAGACATATTTGGCCACTAAATAAATATGCAGTATAGTTAAAACAACTTATTTTTTGTTTTATACTATAATAGAGTATAGTATAATATATATACACATATACAAAATTTATATAGTTTATTACATAAACTATATAATATGGTTTAACTACACTATTAAACTTTATAGTAAATTACAGTATAGTTAAATTTACTTAAAAATCAATATTTCATTTTGTTTGTTTTATTAAAGCAAATAAATTTTGGTTGCCTTTATAGAAATGTTCTTTAAAGCACGCCCACAAAAATTAAATGTGCAAAGCTCTCCCAACAGTGGGGCCATTATAAATAATGAGATTCATCATTTACTCACTTACAGAAGCTAATTAAGACTCTTATCACACTCTACAAAAGAAGGGTAGTAATGGATCATTTCTCATTTATGTCCAAGTATATTCCAAGCTACTCCACATCTACACTATTTTTTTTCCTTTTAACTATCCTTAAAAGAAAGCAACATGAATTAGCAGAGAGGAGAGTACTAAAAGGGTCCATCTAATATAAGTTCATCTAAGAATGTTCATCTAAAGCATAGCAAAACTTGGCAAAACAGGTCATTTACCTTTTCCTTAATGGAGTCCAAAATATCAGTAATTTTCTGCAGTTGTAGATTATGTTCACCAATCTAAAAATAACACAATTGAAATGAGAATGTAGTTCCCCAGGATTACACATGTGCCATAGTAAATTTCAGTTATCAATATCAAATTCTCTGTAAAGCAAATGTAATCCAGAACAAAGAGTGATTGTTCACGAAATAATGAAGTTCTCATTTACTCGCTGACTCTATCCTACCAGAGGCAGGACAAGAAGATAATGTTACACTATTACTTAGCCAAACAGTCAGTTTAGTTTTAATTCAACATGCGCGTCTATTTTTTTTTTAATGAGTCACCATGGATTGATGGAATTAATTCTAAAAGCTCTGACAGAAGCCTGATACTCCATCCTCAATCATGACACCTTCACTGTTCAGCCAGGATATAACTTTCCAGACCATACTGGCTAACACTGTAGTCAAAATATTGGGCAATGTATCCCCAGATTTCTGCCGATAATTTAGGAACCCAAACTGATATTTTCAAGATGCAATGGAAGATGCTTTCATTTACATGTATGTGGGTGGTGGGATTTGGGGCTTTTTGTTTTCTTTTGTTTTAACCAAAGTGAAAATGACCTCAGAAACATGACTAACCTTCTGGGTCAGAAGACTATGAGCATTACCCTAAATAAGGGATATATGGATTCTTTAGTTAGGTCATGCCACTATCAGTAGTTAGCTGCATGTACTGAACCTACTTTTTAAAGCAATAGTGTGTGGTTCCTCAGAAACCCCCACTCCATGCAAACTATCTAGATAAGGATACTGAAAATAAAAGGGGTTGTTTTACTCAATACTCACTTGTGTCTTACTTCCTCTCTTTCTTCCAATCCCAGGTACCCCTTCTCCCTAGCTGTGTTATAGAGTCTCAGACAGAGCAAAAGCACTATCCTTATCAGAGCAGGCTGCATTGGAACCCAGGACAACCATGCTAGTTTCATAGACACCATGATGATAAATGTTAAAGAAGAAAATACTTGTCTGACTGAATTCTTTGGATGAAGAAAGATGCAAAAATGTAAAAAGCCATTCTATTTGTTTAGAGGAACTGGTACTATCCATCACTATCCACTCTGGGAATTCAAAGTGTGGGCTTTTACTTTTGACTAATCTTTTGTATAATGAGGCTTAGCTAGCAAATGACTTATCTTCTTAGGACGTTGGGTCCTTTCCTTTTAACCTGTAAAATACTTAATAGGTATCAAAGGTGCTTTGAGGATGTTGAATGAAAAACTCATAATACAAAAAATTTTTAATTTTAGTTTTGAAAAGAAAAAAAGTAAATCTTAAGTCTAGTTCATCATTGAAAAATGATTGGGTGCCTACTTTGTGTATGGAACTCAGGTGGTATTTGCAGACTCAATATTATAAATGAAATTAATTTGTCCTCACCTGTAAAAAAATACCTAAAACAGCCAATCCATCAGGTTCGTGAGCTGCCTCAACAAAGCTAGGGTACTTGTCCGAATTCCAATGAACCACGTGGAGCTAAAAAGGAAGGACCCAATTTCAAATAGTAATAATAACCACAATTAAAAACACAATAAATTCTAATTAATTATATAGCATGCTATGTATATTCATATGCAGAACTGATTCTTCAGAAGGGCCCTGGAAGGAACTGGCAGACTTTTATCCGCTTCAGATGAAAAGCTAAAGGCCAAAGAGGTGAAAGGTCAGTGTTGCATAATGCTGAGGGCTGGAAGATGGAATAAATTATAGTCTGGACTGCCTAGTTAAGCCTGCCCTATAGCTTCTCACCAGTATCCTTGACCCCACCTTCACTATGTCCACATGCTACAAACTGCTGACAGAGCCGTCTGAAGTTCCTCCCAGAAGTCTCCTTTTGTCATAAGAGGTGCTAAAAGCTGAGATCTCTAGGCCCACTGTTTGAGACCTAGACAGCCTAATAATGCCTTGGTGAAATAAGTGGCCACTGACATGGGGTTACTGAGAAAGCCCTTCAGGAACACTGTTTGTACTGCTCTGCTGTGCACAACAGTTCCTTCACTCGGTGGCTAATAATATCCAACATCCTACGGGCAGGGTTTCATGTAGAATGTTAGAATTGGAAGGGATCTCATAGACCACCTATCTGACAACTCCTCAGGATCCTTTGATGAGTCTTTGATGAAGCATGGCACACTTGCTAACCTTGGGCATCCTACAGGGCTCTGTCCTAGACCCTCTTCTCCCTCTACACTATTTCACTTGATAATCTCATCAGTCTCCGGTATTCAATTATCACCTCTACTCTAATAACTCCCAGATCTACTTATCCAGCCCTAGTTTCTCTACTGATCCTCAGTTCCACATTTCCAACTGCCTATTGGATATCTCAAACTGGTTGTCCCATCACATCTTAAACTCACCATGTCCAAAACTGAACTGACCTTCCCCCCAAACCTTCTTCCTAACTTTCCAGTTACTATTGAGGACAGCCTAACCCAGGTTCATAACTTGGGCATCAAATTTGACTTCTCGTTCTCTCTCATCCCTTCCTTCCATATCCAATCTGTTGCCAAGACCTGTCAATCTTCCTTAGGTAACTTCTCTTGTATATGTCCCCTTCTTTCCCCTAATACTGCCACTCCCTTGGTTCAGGCCCTCCCCACCTCACGCCTGGACTACTACAGTACCATGAGGATTGCTCCTGCTGACACAAGTCTCTGCCTATTCCAGTCCATCCTCCATACAGTGGTCAGAATGCTCTTCCTAAATAAAGTACAGGTCTGATCATATTACTCTCTTTCCGCCACACTCAATAAAGTCTAGGGGCTCCCTACCACTTCCATGATCAAATTTAAAAAAAATCCTCTGTTTGGCATTCAAATCTCTTCATAATCTAATCCTGCCACCCCACCACCTTTCCAGTTTTCTTACACCTTACACACCCTTCCATACACTCTTGAGATCCACTGACAACCTACTTGCTGTTTGTCCCATAAGACACTCCATCTCCTGACTCTGCCTGTCCACTGGCATAAGAATAATTTCCCTCCACATCTTCACCTCTTGGCTTCCCTGGCTTCCTTCTAGTCCTAAAGAAAATCCCACCTTCTACAGGAAGCCTTTCCTAGCACCTCTTAATGATAGTGTCTTCTCCTCTGTGATTATTTCTACTGTATCCTGTAGTTTGTTGCTGTTATTTTCATCCCTTGTTTTTGAAGAAGACCAATGACATCACAGGGTGATGATGTGTGCATGAATTGGATATAAGTAAGGGAAGAGTTGCACAAAGTCTTCAGCCTCACTCTCTCCTCCAGAGTCATTAAAAGCTCAGCAGCAGGACAAAATTCAAAACAATTGGGGATGGCCTAGGATGCCTTGGGCTCTTTGATATCTGACCAACAGGGCCAGCTTCAGCCATAGTTGTGGTATCTTGTCTCTCTCATTAGACTGTAAGCTCTTTAAGGGCAAGGACTGTCTTTTGCATTTCTTTGTGGCTTAGCAAAGACAGTACCTCACACACAGTAGGCACTTATTAAATATTTATTGACTGAATGACTGACCTAGGCCAAAGCTTTCCTTTTACAGATGAAGAAGCTGAAGCCCAGAGAGACAAATTGATAGAAGATATGTGTGTGTGTGTGTGTGTGTGTGTGTGTGTGTGTGTGTGTGTGTGTAACAAAAGCATGGAGCCAGAAGAGAACTTGGTTTTAATCCTACCTTGGCACTTACTAGCTGCATGACCATTAGCAAATCACTAAACTTTTCTGTGACTCAGTTTTATTATAAGAAATGCCTACAGACAGTCAATAAACATGTATGAAGTGCCCACTATATAACAGGCACTGTGCTAAGAACCGGGGGTACAAAGAGATGCAAAAAGACAGTTTTGGGTCTCAAGGAGCTCACAGCATAATGGAGGAGACAATATGCAAAGAATTAGGTACAAAGAAGATACAGACAAGGTAAACTGAAAATAATCAAAAGAGGGAAGGCACTGGAAATAAGAGAGATCAGAAAAGACTCCCTGTAGAAGGGGGAATTTTAGCTGGGACTTGAAAGAAGCCAGTAAGGAGATCATTCTAAGAATGAGAGGACAGCCTCATAAGGCCCAGCTTAGAGCTGTGAGAATTAAAAAAGACAATGTATATAAAATACTCTGTAACCTTTAAAGCACTATGTAAATGATCAATATTATTATCATAACACAATAAATCATAGCTGTGAGAATTAAAAAAGACGACGTATATACTCTATAAACTTTAAAGCACTATGTAAGTGATCGATATTATTATAACACAATAAACAAGTGTCAAAGAATTAAGAAAAATAACTCTTGGAAAGCCTTCAAATTCAGTTTTAAAAGTTAAGAAATATCAGGAAAGGGTGAAGAAAATGCACCTCCCTTCTTCCTTTGCAGAGGTGGAGGACTACAGGTATGGAATACTGAATATCCTATTAGAAGTAGCTGATGATGTAATCAGTACTCACAGGGGTAACAGATGTACTAAAATTGGAATGATACAGAGATGATTAGCATGGCTCCTGTGGAAAGATGATACAAAACTTTCGCAAATGTCTTGTATTTGGTAAATGTCACATCTGTAGTTTTTATATCCACACTGTATGTCCTGGGGACTTGATGTCTGTAAGGATGGACTTCCATTTCTTCAAAGAGGGAATCAAACAATGCAGGAAGATTCAACTACAAAAGGCAGTAAATTGATGTTTCAACATTGTAAGGGCTTAGCCTCTCAGGACCATGAGACTCTTACCCTTGCCATGTTAGTAGAACATTTCATAACAGGCAAGGAGATGTGTGAAATAGTCATCTCTGTCTATTTCCAGGACATCATTTCAACATGGAATGCAACTACCAGTGACACTCTATTTGTATGTAACCTACTCCCCAGCACCATTAAAGAATATAAAACATACACTGACAGCATCAAAATGACAGGCATACTGAGCCCCCAAAGTCTCCTATTTTATAACCTCTGGAAAACACAATCAAACATGTCCCTTTCTGGCTGGCACCATTGTCAAAGCTGGAATGATCAGAGTGTCTTGTTCTATTGTGCTTCCTGGAACACACCTCTATCCCCAAACAACAGGAGTGGAAGAATATTTTATGTTTTAAGTATATGTTGACATAGCTTCAGTGACAGCTGAGATCAGTTAATAAATGATGCTCAACAAAAAAAAGTAGTTAATATATTAGTTGCTTCTTTTTTAAAAATCTTTGTTACAAAACATAGTTTGCTGGGTAGGGAAGGAGAGAAAGATATATTTGGAAATGAAGAACATATAAAAACAAGTATTCATTCATTTTTTTAAATGAAGGGCAAACTGAGATGTCAAAGAAAAGTATACCCCCAAACCCAAAGCTTGGGTCAGTAACAATAGTAGAAAAGGCTGACAATGCTAGAACGCTGAGAACCACAAAGGTTTTATATACAGCCTGTTCCAAAAGTCTTAGTGCAGTTTTAAGCTTTAAAGCTTAAGACTTTGGGGAGACTGAAAGGAAGAAAAGAGAGAGAAAGAAAAGAAGGACAGAGGACAGAAAAAGAGGCAGAAAAGGGGAGGGGAGAGGACAGGACATAAAGATATCACAACTTCAAAATAATACTCTCCACAAAGCCTCTAAGAGGAAGCTTCCTGACAGTGCTTTCCTTTTAATGACTTAGACTCCCTTCCACTAACCAAATTTGACTCTACAGAGCATGGTGCTAGAGGGCAGTTCTGCTGTATTTATAATTTTTACAGGAAACCAACAATTTACATTCATAATAAAAGTCTTGTTCTGTACCATCTACAAGTGACAAAAGGAAGCTGCTAGAAAAGCCACTGGAAATTCTGATGAGTCCTGTGACCGCATGGTAAATGTCGGTGTTGGGTGGTTGGATAAACAAAGAAGCCTAAATAAATTGCACAAGTGAAACAAAATACATTTGGATCATATGAGACACACAGATATCCTCAGAAAGGGAGAGGCTAAGTGGGAGGTCAAAATTCTTTAAATGTCTTGGCACCGATATAGAAGTTTACTTAGTAAGTGATGACATCAAAGAGTTAACAAGGAAATAAATAACTTCTTTATGGTCATAAAAATAAATAGAGTATGTGAATGAAAGACAGCTACTTCTGGGTATTATACTTTGGTTTCTCCCTCAGGGAAAAAAAAATTATGATGTTTTGAAAGGGAATAGGGAACAATGAGAAGCATCTTAAAAAAAAAAAGCCTCTCCCTCCCACATACCTTGCTTAACTTGTAGTAACACTGCCAAACCATGCTGTATGATATAATTTTTATTACCATACAGTGAGTTAAGCCATATGACAAGTTAGAAAGCTATTCTAATCTTAGTTTTTTAATTAATTAATTGATTTTTAGTTTTCAACATTCATTTCCATACAATTTTGAGTTCCAAATTTTTTCCCCATCTCTCCCCTCCTCTCACTCCAGGATGGCATGCAATTTGATTTGGCTCTACATATACATTGATATTGAACCTATATTCACATCAGTCATGTTGTAA